CCCCAAAACCCCAAAACCCCAAAACCCCAAAACCCCAAAACCCCGGCTAGAGTAGACATAGTTGAAGCTTTCTTTATTTTAAATAAGATAATTCTCTTCAGAAGATATCAATCTTATTTAGAATAATCTATGTTTCAAGGAGCCTGTAATATTTTCTCTGAATTAAGAGCATCCTCCAGCTGACTAGCTCTACTCAGGAAGTATTACACTCATGTCATTTTCACTATAGAAGAATCCTCAAGAGGATTATCCTAGAGCTGGTCTGGGCAGGTCTAGTTTAGAAAAGACTCTTCTTCCTTCTGTTGACTTGGGACATCACCTTGAATGCTTCGAGGTACAACTTCCTATGTTTAGTCATTGTATTGTTGGATGCCATAGAGGCTTCAGGGGTCTCCTTGAGGCGGTCACCGTTCAGAATTTCCTTCTCGTAATAATGCATGAATAAATTGTGGATGCCATCTTTGATCAATATACTCTTCATTTTGCCAAGTGAAAACTTGTAAAGGGCATCATAAATTTCCTTGGCTATTTTCTTTTGAGGAGTTTTCTGCAGAATTGCCTCTAATTCCTTTGGATAAATAAGAGCCCCTAGGTAGATGTTGAAGTCCTTGATATTCTTACTGTTCTTCATGGAGAGAGGCTTGATGTGTTGAGACTGAATGTATTCATCAACTCAGACAAGATAGAAATCTTTCCTCTTGTATCTTTTCCTGGAGACATACCCGGTAGTCTCATTAAAATTCTGTCTGTAGTATTTCCTCATATCTCTGAAGATGGTTTTGAAAATGACATCTCTTCTCTGGGAGAGCTCCCCATGTCTTGGGTGGCGAAGGACCACCTCCTCTTCTTTGTCTTCTGACTTATTTTCACTTTGCTCTGGATCCTCTTTTCAAAGTTTTATTTTCAGAGACTTGTCCTGCTGAATATTGGTGTTAGGAATAACAGATTTCAAATTGTCTCCACCAATATGGGAAGTCACCTTCAAGGCGTCTTTGAGAAGGCTAGAGCACCCAATAGAGCCAGATCTCTTCTTGGTGCTACTCAGGAGACTATTCTTTTTAATCATAAGTAAGGTCTCAACAGCTGATAAGTTCTTCTCAGCCTCGTTCCAATGATCTAAAACAGATCCAAGCTTTTCTTTTTGATGAACCATTGTAGGAGACATGCTCACCTGAGGTTTAGAGTTCTTATCTGTCCCTTCAGCTGGGGTAGCATTCGGAACCTCGAATGCAGAGTTCTTCCTGGCAGATAGCTTCAAGGATGATTGTGGAGAAAAGTTATCATCCTTATCATTATTCTGGTTTCTATGTGGACTTTTTACTTGGCTTATCATAATACTCTCATCTACTTTGAGCACTTGAACTGGCACCTTAGGTGGATCTGCAATAGTGTTGTTCCTATAAGATCACAGATTAGAGCTAGGCCTCATAACCAAGGAGAACTTTGATTAACAGTGAGTGCACTTACATATTGTTTTCGGAGTAAATAATTCTATACATTCTATAATGACTAAAATTATAGGGGTTTTGGGGTTTTGGGGTTTTGGGGTTCATTTTTAATTTTAGGGGTTAAATTCAATTATTTGGGCATATTTGGGGTTTTGGGGTTTTGGGGTTTTGGGG